CATCCCATTCCCCTCCATCCCCTCTCATCCCACCATTTCCATCTCCATCATCTTCCTCTCCCTTCTCCATCAAACCCATCCCATTCCCCTTCCCTTCATCCCCTCCCTCCCACCATTTCCATCTCCATCAACCCCATCCCATTCCCCTCCATCCCCTCTCATCCCACCATTTCCATCTCTATCGTCTTCCTTTCCCTTTTCCATCAACCCCATCCCATTCCCCTGCCCTCCAACCCCTCATCCCACCATTTCCATCTCCATCATCTTCCTTTCCCTCCTCCATCAACCCCATCCCATTCCCACCATCCCATTCCCCTCTCATCCCACCATTTCCATCTCTATCATCTTCATTTCCCTTCTCCATCAAACCCATCCCATTCCCCTTCCCTTCATCCCCTCCCTCCCACCATTTCCATCTCCATCAACCCCATCCCATTCCCCTCTCATCCCACCATTTCCATCTCTATCAACCCCATCCCATTCCCCTTCATCCCCTCCCATCCCACCATTTCCATCTCCATCATCTTCCTTTCCATTTTCCATCAACCACATCCCACTCCCCTTCCCTTCATCCCCTCCCTCCCACCATTTCCATCTCCATCAACCCCATCCCATTCCCCTCTCATCCCACCATTTCCATCTCCATCATCTTCCTCTCCCTTCTCCATCAACCCCATCCCATTCCCTTGCCCTCCACCCCAACCCCACCATTCCCACCCCCTTATCCCACCCCTGTGTCCCTCTCCCACTCTCTCCCTCCTGGATTCCTGACCTGTTTCCGGGCGGTCTGGATGCGGTGGGCAGCGATTCCAAGGGGCACCTCCAGCAGTGCCAGCAGTGCCAATCCCGGTGCCAGCCCCACCATGAACGACCCCACCACCAGGGCCATTCCCAGGCTTCGGAGCAGCTGGTTGGCTCCAGTCGGCACCGCCGAGCTCACCCGAGGCACTTCCATGGAAAACCGAGCCATGAGCTCAGCTGCAGGGTGGGAAAAGAGGTTGGGATCATGGTGGGAATGGGTATGGAGATGGTCAGGGTGGAATGGAGATGGTGGGAATGGAGATGGTGGGAATGGGACAGTGGAGATGGGATGGGAATGGAGATGGTGGGATAGGATGGTGGGAATGGAGATGGTCAGGGTGGAATGGGATGGGACAGTGGAGATGGGATGGTGGAAATGGAGATGGAGATGGTCAGGGTGGAATGGGGTGGGACATTGGAGATGAGATGGTGGGAATGCAGATGGTGGGAATTGGTATGGGTGGAATGGGACAGTGGAGATGAGATGGGAATGGAGATGGTCAGGGTGGAATGGGATGGGACAGTGGAGATGGGATGGTGGGAATGGAGATCTTGGGATGGGATGGTGGGAATGCAGATCGTGGGATAGGATGGTGGGAATGGGTATGGAGATGGTCAGGGTGGAATGGGAT